TATTATTTCTCTCTTTGGCACATTTTGGCACTTTTTTATCCTCAATATGGCTCCTCATAACTAAGGATAGTTGAGACATGAATACAGTGTAAGAAAATTTTTTTTCTATAATTGTTTCCTTATAGAAAGGTTGGTTTCTTTTCCACCCTAGACATTCCGAATTCGTTCAAAATATGCTAATTTAAAACACAGAATTCTTTCAGTGTTCCTCCGGGGTTTTTGGACATGGACTGTTTCATCAATTTAATAGTGTTCGCTTTATTTTTGTGGAAACGAAAAATGTTTTGCAAGTTATGGATCATTTCTACACTCTTTCTTCAAATATTTCTCGTATTCCAGCTGTGAGTTTAGTTTTTCGCATCGTGTTTTTACATATTCGTAATCTAAATTTTTTTAATAAAATCAATTGGTGGTAGTTCATGATTGTGTGTGGATTAATATCACAACACTGAGTATTTGGCAATAACCTTTTTCATCTATTAAAAAACAACACTTACGGGGCAATGCTTATTGTAAGAACAACATTTTTTTCTATGAATCGACATACTTTAAGCATTGTTGACGCCATTTGAATGAGGAAATAGCATCAATGACGTTATTTCCAAATTTTTGTTGAATTTATTTCGCTTTTGAAAAGGTAATAATGTCAATTGACTTTATTTCGCACCAGGGTGGGAAATAAAGTCAATTGTCCTTATTTCCATTGACCTTATTACCTGTCACCAAGTTCGCCACGTAAACTGTTTGTGCTTTTTCCACTTTTTCATTTATTTAGCCAACTAAAATCAAGCGCAGCTATTCCACTCGATCATGTTGTTCTTTTTGTTTTCGCTAATAATTCTATTTTTGGAATGCTTAACTTTTAGGCGTTCTCGCCCTTAAGTTATTTTTTTGTTTGTAATTTATGGCCTTATAACAATTATATTCAACAATTTTATTGAGCTTAAGGACATTTTTTAAATGAAAATTTTTGTGAAAAAACCACAATTTACATTTTTGGTAGTAGTTATAGGCATTTCGGAGGTCACCATATAGCTATGGCTATGACTTTATAAAAAATTTCATTTAAAAAACCGCCTCAAGCTCAATAAAATTGTTGAATATAATTGTTATAAGGCCATAAATAACAAACAAATAACGTCGTTTAAAGTACAACTACGCGTATCGTCGGTCTGCAAAACCGCGTTACTGACATTTTTTGCCACAAGTTGGATTTGCTCACACAAGCTCTTGGCTCAAGCCTTATCCATTCATCCTGAAATATACTAGCCAGAAATCCGATTGCTTTATAAAAAGGAGAGCCATTTTGAAATATGAGTGTTTTTACTCTCAGGAAAATAATTTATGCAACCTCATATACGCGGTTTTGCATTATCTTGATACGCGGTTTTGCATTTTGTTTATACGTTGTTTTGTACTTTAAACGACGATAAATAACTTAAGGACGAGCACACCTAAAAGCTAAGCCATTCTAAAAATGTAATTATTAGCAAACACCACGGGTCAATTCTCGAAATTAATAGAAGATCGAACAACTCGTGGAAACATAGAGTAATGAATTAATTAAGCGATTTATGTGGCTTGAATACACAAATTAACTAAATTGCCACGCACCCGCTTCACCAAATTTGCATACGTATATTATTACAGTTACTGAAATGATTATAAACTGTGAATTCTTATAAATGAGATTTTTAGCTTTTGACATCAATTGTTAGTTTTCAAATTAATTAAAAAACAAGTAAGAGCAGCGCTGTCTTCGGCTATGCCGAAGGCTTCATACCTTTCATGAACATCTGCAAATTTTACTTTGACAGATTACTGCTTTTGAATACATGTGCATACATTGATAGAGGAGTTACATACTTATATAAAAAATCGCATCTAAACAATCAGAGGTATGGAAGATATACTTTATATGGCACCAATCTAAGTGATTTTCACTGCTATGTGATCGGTATGTAAACCGGTAACACAATTTATTGGGTTTAGTTTCCTACATAAAGGAGATATATCGCAAAAACTGGTATCTGAACAATCAGTGCTATAGGAGATAAAGCTTATACAGCATAGATTTTGACGATTTTCTCAGTAGACTTTGTATTATTATTTATAAAAGATCTTACGAAATTTATCGGTTTTAGCTGTTCAAATAAAGGAGTTTTACAGTAAAATCCCATATCTGAACAATCAGATGTTTGGAAGATATATGTTGTAGTCACCCGATCCTTGTTATTTTCACTTTACGTATTCTGTTAATAATGAGTGAAAATGGTGCGAAGTTTCATGTTCCTAGCTGCATAAATGGAGGAGTTATGATAAAAGACCTCATATCTGAACAATCAGTTGTATGGGGTCTGCAGGTTATAGTGACCCGATCTTTGTTATTTTCGCTGTAAGTCTTCTGTTGATAATGAGTGAAAACAGCGCGAAATTTCATGGTCCTAGCTACATAAATGGATGAATTATAACGAAAAATCTCATATCTGAACAATCAGTTGTATGGGTGCTATAGGTTATAGTTACCCGATCTTTTTAATTTTCACTGTAAGTTTTCTGTTGATAATTATTGAAAATAGTGCGGAATTTCATGTTCCTAGCTATATAAATGGAGGAGTTATAACGAAAAATTTTATATCTGAACAATCAGTTGTATGGGAGCTATAGGTTATAGTGACCCGATCTTTGTAATTTTCACTGTAAATATTCTGTTGATAATGGGTGCAAGTACTGCAAAATTTCATGTTCGTAGCTGCATAAATGGAGAAGTTATAACGAAAAATCTCATATCTGAACAATCTGTTGTATGGGAGCTATATGTTATAGTGGTCCGATTCTGCCGGTTCCGACAAATGATTAATACATTATAAAAATACACCCACCTACCAAATTTGATACTGATATCTCGAAAACTGAGAGACTAGATTGCATACAAACAGACGGACAGACGGACAGACGGACAGACGGACATGGCTAAATCAACTCAGCTCGACGTTCTGATCATATAAGTATACATTTTAATGGGTCTATCTCTTTTTGTTCTGGTACTTACAAACATCGGACCAAAGTTATAATACCATTTCATGCTCATGAAAGGTATAATAAGTTTGTATTCTTCATTTGGGCGGTTGTCATTGGCTTTGATCGGAACTTTGGGCGGAAACAAATTTTTCTAGTGGCAACCCTGGTTTCGACCCTTTATGAGGAATCATCATCAAGACGCTCGCCACAAATCGGAGAAGCTCGGTCAAACATAAACATATTGTGCAGGCGCAAATTTATTATTATTATTAATGTTCGTATTATATATTAATTTTTATAAAACTTTTGTTACCCGAGTGTTTTAATATGCAGCTTACTTTCTTCCAAGAAAGGATAATGTTGCATTGAGATTTTATGACACGCAAACTTTTTGCACTTTTTAGTAGGGTTAACAAATTTTTTTTTTGTTCAAAATCGGTACTTTTTACTTTTCCATGCTATAAAAAAGTACTTTTCAGTACACTTTCATTCAAAGCAAAATTATGAATGTAAGTAACAGAAAATATTTCAAAACACTATATACTTGTTTTTAACAATATTTTGTTATAAAAATAAAATGTAGTTCATAAAAATAAACATGTAGTATAAAATATCCTATCATTGAACGCAAACTTTATATTTTTTTTTCAATTGTGGAAACGTATGGCGTAAATAACTTTTTTCAACTGCCCAAAAAATTTAAAATGCTATGAGTTCGCTAAAAAGAGTATCTAAGTTATCGAGATGTGATGCATGCAAAACTATATTACAATTTCATCAAATTGGGAAAAAATAATTGTAAGTTGTAGGAAAAAGCCATTAAATTATTCAGATTTGTTTTTATTAAACTGAAAGTTATTTTCCAGATAACTAAAAACACTTGACAAAAACACGTCAGCCCACCTTTTAAATAAATTATACTTCATCAACTGGTACGTAACGACTCGGCGATATACCAATAAAACGTTTTTTTTTTTTGTTGAATTAATTTCTTGCGCAAATCAAAAATTACACAACAAAATGAAACACAGGCTTAAATTAAAGCTAGAACTCTCGGCTACTATCCCTGAAAATACCATTCCTGCACCTTGACTTGAGGGTCACTTATAGTCATTTGTTGAATAGCAAAAACTGATTTTGGGGAATTTTGAGTACCTACCGCAGTTAAACAAAAGGTGATATAAATTCCTCTTAGGCTTAAATTAAGGCTTGAACTTTCGACTACAATCCCTAAAAGTACCATCCATGCATGTTAACCCTAAGGTAACTCATAGTCATTTACTGAGCAGCAAAAACTGATTTTAACACATTTTTTTTTCTAATAGCACAATTTTCCAGTACTTTTTTATTGTTAAATAAAAGACTATAAGTGACAATCAGGTCAAGGTGCAGCGATGGTATTTTCAGGGATAGTAGCTGAGAATTCTAGCTTAATTTAAGCCTGTGTTTAATTTTTGTTGGCCTGTAGTCGAGATTTCTAGTTTAATTTAAGACTAAACGGAAGGTACCATTCCTTTCTTTCCTAGAGCTTCTCAAATACTGAAAAACACCAGATTTTTTGGCATTTCGACCTCTTTTTTCTCAAAATCTGGACCTGATGATACTTACGGATTCGCAATAAGCACAGAAAATTTTATCAAAAACAGTTTTAACATTTTCCTCACCAAAATCAGTGTTGCCCTTTTTTATCTGAAACATGCCAACTATAATTAAATTAATTTCTTCTAACTTTTTACAGTACAGTTTGAGGAAGTTCCAACATTAAAAACCTTAAAAAATCCTAAGTATTTTCTTTGCGTAAAATAATATTGCACAAACAAAATACATGGGTAAAAATGATCGAACAATGAGTTACCGAGTACAAAGTTTGGAGGGAAAACCACGATTACAAATTTTTATGCTGAGAATTCAAAATTAAGTACAAATCAGTACCAATTTACAAAATTAGGACATGAATAAAATTAGTACGAGAGTTGAAAAATCAGTACTTTACTGATAAAATCAGTACGTCTGGCAACCGTACTTTTGAGCCATTTGATTTTCTGTAATTGGCTGCATAAGTAATTTCAAGCGACCGGATATTTTTATATGGACTGCATTTCTTTATTCATTCTGAACGTTTGAAATAAACATTTTTGTTTATTTATTCTTTAGAATGTTCTTGATGATACGTTGACGTATACTTCAAATGCATTCTGTTTATTCCGGCTGTAAAATGGGATTATCCGGAATGTATAAAGAAACGCAGCCATGATATTGGTTAGGCTTGCTGTGTGCTGTTAGAGTCATGACACCTCCTTTACAAACATTTTCATTTATGTTAACAGCGCTTGTAAAAAAATTTTCACTTAAACTTTGCGCTGACATTTAATTTTCGATTTTCAATTGTGTTGGCGTATTATAATGTTGCTACGGCGAGCATTTACGACTTGCCAGTTTAGAAGAGCGTTTTGTTTTTCGCAAAATATAATGCGGTCACCTCTAAGCTTTTTTGTCATGCCATATGGTACTATATGTGCAAAAACAGACCTTATCTTTTAACTTAATCATTGCTAATTGAGTCTCTCTTAAACGCCATAGCTCAGTTACATAACTTAACCCGCGATCAATAAATGGAATGAACTGGTTTAAAATATTAGTTAAATAAAATTGTGACTGAGGAACACACAAATTATATAAAATGTATGCAGCAGCAGGAGGGGCATCGCTGGCGTCACGTCAAGCACGTCAACGACAACGTCAACAAAAACGAAACCAACAATTACAAGCAAAACTCCATCCACCAAAATTATCTGCGTTATCGATTAGCGAACATGGCGCATCAACTCCAACTCGCACCCAGTCACGTCAGTTCCACCAGCTGCCGATCAACTATCTGCGCACACCACAGACACAAACAAGGAAATTAAGCGCCAGTTACACGGCACAATCAAAACTTTTACTGCCTATTGATGAAAGTGATAATCAGTCAGTGTTGCAGATGCGCGTACAATATGTGCATTCTCAAATGCACCATTCTCATAGTCATGCGCATCCTATTCAACTACATCCCTATCCACAAAATCAGTCCGCGCATCAGCAGCATCACTGCTACGAAGGCACTTCCCGTAACATAGTTCATCGACACTCAGGCAGTGGTGCTAGTAGCTTTCATCAATCTAAGCTTCCTAAGTCCGCCACAGCGACCTTACCACTCGTCTCACAAATAGGAGCTACGCCGCCGACGACACCATGTGGTGCGGCCGAAGGTACAACTACCACCACTACAAAAGTTGGGACGTCATCTGCCGATCAATCTTTCATTTATTTATCCCACCATGATGCAATTATTGTGACACCGGCCACGCCGATGGCCTCGCCAGGGCATGTAGGCAAACCACTACAACAGCAGGAGGAAAAACTAACGGATACTTTTATGGAAACCTGTACCACTCAGACTGAAGCTATTGAAAATGATAATCATGTTACTGATCCGTCAATCGTTCCATTAGAACGAAAGTGCAGCGTATATCGCATGCGACGAAATGAACCCCACCGATATGAGAACGCGAGCGCTGTTGGCAGTATGAGCAGCAGCGTTAGACGGCAGCTGAAGGATCTGCAGTTTAATCAACAACAACAGTATGAACCACTCCTCAGCAACGAGTCGCATCTTTGTTATAAGGGACTAGCGAATGGGCGCAAATTGCAAATATGTGCTTACTGCGAGGAGGGCATTTGCGTATGTGAACATATTGAGGTAATAACTAACGAAAGCCTTGATGGTAAAGCTAACAGACTTTTACTAGGAGCCATCGACACATGTTTACGCTTTTTCTTATTCTTATTATCTGTTTACATACATATATGTAAATTTGTATATAACTTGTTTGCCAACAATTGGCCCTATCATTTTCTATGTACAGTACGTCGTGCATGAACTATGTATGTATGCATTTATTATTTATATTTTCGCATAGTAACATACATATCGAAGCAGTGGCGTAAGCAGGATTTTGGGAAAGCGGAGATGAAAAAATATTACAGACTTCGACTGGGTGTATTCTTTCATATCCCGTTATATACTTTTTATCAAAACGCGACAAGTTATAATTTCTGATAAAGGGAGAAGTCAGAATTCCAGATATACTGGTTAAATTTTATTAAGTTGGTGAGTCTGCACACACCAGTGTTTCGGTTTTTTATAGACGGGAGCATGAAGGGAGTAGAATTTCAGCAATTTCAGACCTACAAATTTCCGTTTTGACTTCGGTATGATACGAACACATTGAAAACTCTTCTATGTATTTTACTACCACCAGAATCAATGTGTTCATAGCTCGAAATCGGGTTTATCGTCTGAAAAGACTAACGTGCGAACAAAAGGCTTTTCAGACGGTGTGAAAAGTCAATAGGGTCAATATTCAAATGCCTAACATAGGTCTACAAAAAATAATTTTTAAAAAGAGACAAGAACGGCACTCATATTTCTTGGGTATATTGAGCACGCTGAATAAACCCTTCGTTTTTTCAGATTGGTTAGATATTTCTTGTGAATTATTAGAAAAATTGAAGAATTGGCAATTGATGAAATTCTGGAAGCTTATATATTTACCACCACCCTGGGAATTTATTACCTATGAAAACGAATATGCCTTTGAAATCACATGAAAAGCATAGTTTGGTATACTTTTGTCGACTGTTTAAGAAGAGCTCTTTTTAAGAGGCAACCATGTATTTTTTCTAAATCTGACAAGACTGGTCAAAAATGTCATGAAAAAATCCTATGCGTCCCTATGTTTTGAAAAGACATGACGAAATCGAATCACCCTCCGGAATACCTTTTTTCATCCGCATAAGCATGTTTTGAGTTATTTATCCATTTGAAGAAAAAATATCGTTAAACACCATTACACCATTTTTAAAAGATTAAAGACCAGATTTGCACCTAATAACAACCCAGAAAAATTCTTACAACAGCATGCGGCACAACCAGTAATCGCTGGTTTTTATTTGATTTTTACCAAGGAATCAGATTATTCAATTGGCTCTAGTCTTTGAGTTTTTGGGCATTTAAAGTATCAAAAAACTGATTTTTGGCATTTTTTAAGCTTATGGGTAAGGCTTCCTCAAATGGGCACCGAATTTACCAACATTAATAGTTTTTAACTATGTTCAGGCAGCGCCGAGGTTTGTAGTAGAACAGTACACTGTGCAATTTTTGTTGCAATATTCCAAATAGTTTTTTTTTAATCAACGATAGAAAATTTTTGCAGTGCTTTGGAAATTTTTATTTTTATTTGAAAGTAAGTGTCCGAATGAAAAAATTTTTTGGGTGCGGATTTAAGAAACATTAGACTATACAATGAAATTATTTGAGTTACAAAAATATTTTTTTTTGCTTTTCAATCATTTTCTATGAAAAATTGAACTTTTAAGCAATTTCTGCGCCTCATGCACGAAAATTTTTAACAACAACTTATGAAATAAACATTTCTGCATTTATCTATGAAAATAAATGCGTGCATTTCCAAATAGTTCGGTCGGAATGAATTTTTATTTGCCAGCGTGCGGGCCCGACTCGCGTGGCTGGATTGCGCGCAGTCCATGTTGACTTCATGCGCAAGAAAGAAACGCACGTTTCAATCGTTCCACTTTTATTTCTCATGCTCGAATTTTGCATGCCCGCGGTAGTCGGGCCACACTCTGACAATTAAAAATTCATTCCGACCAAACTATATCGAATTGCACGCATTTTTCCATAGATAAATGCAGAAATGTTTATTACATAAGTTGTTGTTAAAAATTTTCATCCACGAGGCGCAGAAATTTAATTGCTTAAAAGTTAAATTTTTCATAAAAAAAAATATTGAAAAGCAAAAAAAATATATTTTTGTGACGCAAATAATTTCACTGTATAGTTTAATGTTTCTTAAATCTGCACCCAAATTTTTTTTTTATTCGGACACTTGCAAAGAACAATAAAAATTTCCAAAACACTGCAAAAATTTTCAATCGTTGATTAAAAAAAAACTAATCGGAATTTTGCAACAAAAATTACACAGTGTACTTTTCTATTACAAACCTCGGCGCTGCCTGAATGTCATTGAAAAATATTAATGTTGGTAAATTCGGTGCCCACTTGAGGAAGCTTTACCCTTATGTAGAAAGATATAGACGTAGAATATAATATTTTGAACAGTAAAATATGAAATCTGAAATATGGACTTTTTAGGTCTAAGGAGGAAGTTCTTCTTCTTCTCTGCTATCATCCGATTTGAATATTTTCAGAGCTGGAGCGTCGGAGTTCATTCGAACGGCATGGCCAAGCCAGCGGAGCCGCTGTATTTTAATTCGCTTGACTATTACTACGTTTATACGCACAGATTAATAGACTTAATTGAAAGCGCATTAACACCGTACACATTTCGCTCTAGTGTTTATACTTACGGCTTTATATCGGCATCAAAGTAACCGTCTTCAAAAGCAAACAAAATAAGCTGTTTTCATTTGACATTTTATAAGTTAACATAATGGAAAGTGATAAAAATCTAGTTTATAAAGAACGATTATTATAAATCAGCTTTTAAATACTGATGCGATGATTTGGAATTTGAACGGAACGGCTGATCTCCAATTCGCTTTGAGTGAGAGCGGTGTTTATACACTCTTTCTAACTGTCTGGAGAAATAAACTACCGATTTGAAATGGAGTGTGAGCCAAAACACTTCGCTCTTTCAAAGCGAATTGAAATTCAGTTTATACATATGTTTTGAATCGCGGCGAAATGAATAAAAGCGGCTTATGCATGCGTATAAACGTAGTAATATAATTGGAGATGAGCTTTTGCGCTCAAATTCCAAATAATCGCATCAGTATTTAAAAGCTGATTAAAAATAATCGTTCTTTTTCTTTGCCACGATTTTATAATACCGAATAAAACTAGACTTTTATCACTTTCCATTATGTTTACTTATAAAATGTCAAATGAAAACAGCTTATTTTGTTTGCTTTTGAAGACGGTTACTTTGATGCCGATATAAAGCCGTAAGTATAAACACTAGAGCGAAATGTGTACGGTGTCAATGCGCTTTCAATTAAGTCGATTATTCTGTGCGTATAAACGTAGTATATGTCTACGCTGTAAAGCTCATACAGTTCATCATTCCATCTTCTGCGGTAAAGACCCGTAAATCTTCCGCAAAATCTTTCTATCGAATACTCCAAGAGCCGCCTCATCGGATGCTATCATTGTCCATGCTTCTGCACAGGGGCGAACTCAGGTAGGGGTTTTGGGGGTAGGCGTAGTTTGGTTAAGCCCAAAAATGGTCTCATATCTAAGTTAAAAAAAAATTTGATCACATGTTTTTTCAAGATGCCGGTAATTTCACAACCCTCTACATCGCGAAAATCAAGTTTTACATTCCGTGCGACCTAGTTTACATATTCACGTTCTTGCAGGTTCCGCTCAATGATGTTTAAAATTTTTCTCGCAGTAAAGCCAAACGTAATTTGAAATTTTAACTATCATGAGTTAAAATGTGTAAAAGGTACTTTCCTACATTTCAAATTCCGTGCTAATAATTAAGCAAATATTAGTGGTATTCATCTAAAGCGAAAACTTTATCAAGCAGATATTCTTATAAATTTAAGAGCTATTTACGTTACATGAACACCCCATACTCTCTTTTCGTTTCACTTGCGACAGAGTTGCCTTGGCTTTAGGTTATTAAGATTGTTGAGTGAATACGTTGGAAAAATGTATCAGAAATGTATAGACGAGTTTCCATACAAATTTTGACAGTTAATTTAAGTTTACACAATTATATGTTTATACGGAGTGCAATATTTTGATCAGTTTTTGATATTTTTGTTTGTGTTTGATATTATTGTATAAAAGTGTAGATGGTTATACAAAAAACACCAACTAAACTCAGATTTCAATATTTGTACAAAAAGGATACAAATTCTGGAATTTTTTTGGATTTTTTTTTTGCTGGCAGTGTCCTCTATGTAAATAAAAGAAAATTGTCGAACATACTTTGTATGGGAGTAAGAATTTCTGAAATGGGCCACTTCAATTATGTGATATTTTATTTCCAATCAGCAATGGTATTTTTTCACAGCTATTGACAATGCAAACAAATGTCTAACTTTGATTTTACAAAAAAAATTTGTTTTCTTATATATCGATAAGTGTTTTTTTTTTGTCCTTTTTACTTAAAAATTCAATTACAGACGATCTAATTGACCGATTTTGACAATTCAACAGTAATTTTCATTGCTATTAAAAACTCTTCAAGAGCATAGGTTTTACTTACTTAAAAATTACTTTTAAGGGTAAATGTTTATAAAATTTTTGGTAAAAATACAAAAATAATAGTATTCTCCAACACTTTTTCACACAGAAAAAAAGCCACATATGCAAAATTTTACTCTCTAAAATATCCTGTTGAGAAAAAAATTGGATCGCAACGTGGAAAACCTTTAGTTTTACTTGAAGGCTGTCGCGCAATTCAACGAGCACGTTCGGACTTATTTTGGTCAAGTGCGTCTGCAACCGGCGTGCCCTCACCAATTTATTTGTTTTCATGTGACAGAGCCAAAAATAAAATGAGGTAGATTTAAGTAAAAAAGTTATTTTGAAGCAAAAAAACAAATACGACTTCAATTCTCATATACAAATTTAAGATAATCGTTGATTTCTTCATGATCCAATGATCGGATTTAAACCAAATTAGTACGGCAACACCTATGAGG